GTAGTTTTTAAAGTATGATGAACTAAGTGTATGGGGTTTTTCCTCAATTGAATAGTTTTTTGTGTGTCTTTTGTTTAGTTTTTTTGCCATGATAGTATCCTGTTTCTTCTACTGCTAATGAAGTTGTTGTGACACTGAGGAAAAGCAGTGTTGTACTTTATAGATTGCAGAAGAATTTTTAAAACTTCAGAAATATTTCATGTGATCTTTATTCCTAAAGATGAGCATGAAAAGAAAAAATTACAAATTATATCAAAGAATGCTAAAACCCTTTTGTGTCACCTGCATGGGAGGAACATGATGCCCACTGGGACCAATAGAAACACATGCAGCAGCCAATCAGCAGTGTACAGAGAATGCCAGAGCCTGTATCTGATGCAGAGACATGTTGATTACTCACCTGAGGGTTTCAACTTGTCAGGACTGAAACACCATGAAGCATCATTGGCCTACCCTCAAAGTTTGGAAGAAAATTATTACCATTTCCCTGAGCCACCAGTTAGCCAGCTAGCCGCACTGCACAGCATCATGATCATGGCTCCCAGTAGCATTCTACTCTGAGACACAATCATGCTGATCATTATATACACCCCAGGTCTCAAACATCAGAGTCCAGTGGGGAGTCAGGAGCATTACTAGAGGGGGCCAGCACCTACCATCTTAGATTTTGTACACCCACACCCACAGGAGTTTGCATGGTTGAGGATTGTTTGTGGAAAATACTCTTTCAGCAGATGCAACAGAACGCTTCAAACTCCAAATATTGGTGGATCATATTAAGGTGAAGGAGGCCCTGCTTGCTGACTTCTATAGCAATTCTAGGTACCCTCATACCAACCCAATGGATGCCAGGAGTATAGACAACCACACCAACTGGCACTCAGCATATTGCAGAGTGATGGATGGGGCGTCTGTCACGTAAGGAGATACCAAGACCTTCAGGATGTTTGCTCTAAAGGTACGCTTACTGGTCAGTTTGCATGGACAGTTAGGGAGGAAAGGAATTGTAGAGCTGGAATGTGGGGCCCAGGTGTCAAGGTTGCTTGAAAAACTGCCACATGGTTTGAGGTCCAGTTTCCATAGATATTGTCAGCCTCAGAGTATTCCCTTTCCTACTGGCTCGAATATGAGCTGCAGGCGCAAGTTGATACTTCACTGTTCACGTCATGATCTGGAGGTATGACTGGAAAATTCCATCAGGCACCTGAGTTCCTTGGTCTCCACCCCTGGGCGGAGCCATCATCTCTCCTGCAGTCCTGTACACCTGAAGCCGAATCTGGGTAATCAAGTTGAGGATTTAAGCTTACCTTGTTTTCCTGTGTCACAGTTTCCCTGGACCTTCTTCGCCACTGCCTTCAACCTCAGCTTCTTTTGGATAACCTCTACACTCTGGAAAATACAGAGAACCTTGCCTGCCTGCCCTCCAGCTATCACTCACCACCTCGGATGCAGTGGAACTCAGGTCACCTTTGCCAATACTCACCTGGATTCTCTCCACCTCTCCCTCAAAGCCAAGCTCACCCCAGCTGTCAGTAAAAAATATTAATCATACCCACCTTCCCTAGGTGTCCTGCGTCCACCACCTTCCTAACCACGTTTGCTTCTCTTCCAGATACACCCGCTCCATTCCCATCGCAACTGTCACTTCACAGTTCACTCTCGCTGACCCACGGCCGCATCACTACTCTTTGCTACGAATTAATCTGTTTTCTTAATAAAACACTGTAAAACTTACGAGCCGTCTCTGTTGTGGTTCGCTGCATTTGAGTCTAGTTTAGCTATCGGCCTGTGGCCATTGTGACAATTCAGCTCAAAGAAACCAGTATTTCAGACAGGAGAGGAAAGGAAGAAGTCATCCAGTAAGATAACCACCGCAGTGTTGAAGGGG